GGGAAGAGCAATTTGACAGGAATTCATCTTAGATACTTATTTTCATCTTTCACACTAGGTAACTGATCGAGACAATTAAAACCATGATTTTTGTTGTTCATTTCATCATGAAAAATTTTTAAACAAAGGAATAAAATATAAACTACTTACTCTAAATAAGTGGACCAACTTATTTAATGCATTTAGATTAAATATTGTTGCTGAAATGGATTCCTCTATAAAACAGGTTTGAAACAAGGGGCATAAATTTAAAGAGGCAATGAGATGTGGGTAGGTGTGATTGTTTTTCAAGAATATCTTCTGTCTATGGATGTGATTCTGCTGACATGAACTGATTTCCATTGCTCTATAGCAAGAAGTGCCCAAGAGCCAAGGAGCAACTTCCTTTATGTTGCTCAAGTCATCCGCCAGTCCAGCATTCTCATTTGTTAAGATGATCAAAGTAACACTGACTGTTTCTGTGGTACATTACACAATCTAAAATCAAACTATTTAGTCTGCTTGTGACAGATTTTTGAGAACCATGGCTGGAAATGGGTCTTCATTTCAGACACAACATGGGAGTGAGAATCAGAGTGGTCCTTAAAGAAATGAACAATCTGTAACCAAAGGTCCATGGCCCAAATCTATGTAGGCTAACTTCACAGTTTTCTAATTTCAGAGGCCAGAAACTAAAGATACTAAGTAAAAGAAGAAGGAAAAAAAAACAAAACTCCCTTACTCACTGGCATGCATATAGAGACAGTTGTCCCTGGGCTTCAGGTTTCCTGCCAGTCCCCACTGTCAGAGCCCAAGGAGGAATAAAACACATGGGCAGATGTGATCTTTAGGGTGAATCCATCTCGGCATGGCATATGACCAAATGGAACTCAAAAGTAAAGGAAACATAGACCCAATGGGGAGAGGGGACAAGATTAAAGGACATTGTCTAGAGACTTTATAGGTGGAGTAGAAAGGGAAATGTCTGCTTGTCACAATAAAACGAGCACAATTCTTTACCTCTTATAGTTGTTGCAAGGATTAAATGATGCGATGCATAAAAGACACTCAGAACAAAGCCTGGCACATTCCAAGTGCTCCCTAAGTGTCAGCTATTATGGTCATCTCTCTTCCCATCACTGTACTACCACATCTCTGTGACACATTCACCTCATGCTTATGACAGCTCCTTATTTCCTGTTCCTCTAGCATCTCAGGTGGCTCTCTGTCCTGGTCCACGGCTGAATGCTAGTGCCAATTCACACACCACTCCCAAATCCTTCAACCTCCTTCCCTTCCACACCAACCCCAGATTTTGTCTGGCACAAAGTGAGTTAATTATGCAACACTAAGATGAGATGCTGCAATTTGTGTCACTTGTGTACTTTCTGAAAATTTGGACCAATTTTTAAAAAGGGATCCTCAATGTGAGAAAATTTTTTATAATTTTACATTTCCTAATAAATAAAATATTCACTTTTTTAATGCTGTATATATTTCTTTGTAGCTTGCTTTTTCAAAATTGGCCTCAATGAAACATAGTGTATTAATCAAATTTACCTTCTATTACATTTCAAATTATTTTTTTAAATCAGGGTAGAGTATGAAATAAACTATAAATTAAGCCTTATTACAATACTTTTCATTTAGCAGACCCTCAATAAAAAGAAACCAGTGAATGAATTCCAAGGCACTTGTGGTGGAAATGACTGGAGACAGTTCACAATGCCTAATCTACCTTTTATAGATGCTGTTGACATGAGCCCCCAAGGAGTGCTATATAAAAGAATATATCCTTAAAACAACAAAAGTTTCATTCTTTACAAATGAACAATTCAACAAGTATTTATTGAGCACCTATTATGTCTTAAGCGTTGTTCTGGGCACTGGGAGTGCAGTGGTGAATAAGATGGAAAGGATGTTGCTCAAGGAAAGCACTTAAGGAATATAAAATAACTAGAAATGACAAGAAGTACTCTCCACCTGAGATTGCATCACAGTGATTTGTTTGAGAAAGAAAAGAGAAGGTAAATCTCAAAGTAAGTAAGTGCATAATAAAATATGAATTGTGTCCTATAAGAATAAAAAATTGCCAATATAAAAATTATTTGTTAATATCTTTTCATGGATTATGAAATGTTACTCTCTCCTTAAATGGACCTAGAGACAAGAAAGTCACTATTTTGTGAAATAAAATAATCTGGAATATATATGCTCTTGGCTTGTTTGACTGCAACACTCTGGTTTTCTTCCTCCCTGTGCTGGCTGTGCTTATGCATTCTTTTTGGCTGGCTCTTTCTGCTCTTTTTGACTTCTAAATATTACTTGGCCTCTAAATATTGCTGTACACAAGTACATCTGTATTTTTTCAAACCCTCACACTCATGAAGCTCCTTCTGCTACAAGTGTCTTGTACCTATTCT